ATACCACCAGTAGATTTTACCATCACTTACAAACAATCAATCCAATACCAACAGTAGATTTTACCATCACTTACAAACAATACCATACCACCAGTAGATTTTACCATCACTTACAAACTATCCCATACCACCAGTAGATTTTACCATCACTTACAAACAATCCCATACCACCAGTAGATTTTACCATCACTTACAAACAATACCATACCACCTGTAGATTTTACCATCACTTAAAAACAATCCCATACCACCAGTAGATTTTACAATCACTTACAAACAATCCTATACCACCAGTAGATTTTCCCATCACTTACAAACAATCCCATACCAACAGTAGATTTTATCGTCACTTACAAACAATCCCATACCACCAGTAGATTTTACCATCACTTACAAACAATCCCATACCACCAGTAGATTGTACCATCATTTAAAAACACCGCTTTACCACCAGTAGATTTTATTGTTAGTTAGTTTAGCAAATTAGTTTATTTTACAAGTCCTGTGCTGTATATATATTCATGTATCAACATCATGTAAAATAATATTTCTGTTTAGTTACTATTCAGTTTTTACTTACTGGGGTCCCTTTTAGTCTCTCTAACCTCACTGCACCCTCTTCTGTTTTTTTGTCTTCATCACCATTACTTCCAACACTGCTCAATTTACCGGTACTTGGACTCTCCTTACAAGTCTTTGACACTTCTCGTTCATCATCATCGTTACTTGAATCAGATTTTCTTTTTTTACTTTTTTTGGGCGATGATATAGTAACTTTAATGGCTTTACTCTATAATGTAATGTGAAAAACATTGTAAAAACTGACAACTTAAGCATTAACTAAATGAAAGATCAAATATGAATATAAAAATATAAAACCAATCTTACTGGCTGTTTTCTTTTTTCAGCTTTTTCCTGCTTATGTCTAATAACATTCTCCATTCGGAATTTAACCTGTGCTATAGCACTTTTCACCAGTTCATCATTTGGCTGAATATTAATATCAGTAATGAAATCTACCTGTAATAAATTATTTATCTTTTGTTATTCATCAGTTGATTCACAAGCAAATATCTCCTGATCACGACACAGACTACATTGGCTGAAATGAATCATGCGACTTAAGTAAATTTGCATTGAGCAGTCCTATTTCCAAACCAACCTCAGATATGATCACTCACATGTAAAATGATTTGTACATTTAATTATGAAAGTTTTTAAACATTTTCAACACAGTAATTTGGTATTGAAAGATAAATTCATTGATTACTTTGTTTCTGGCTGATCCATCATCACTGGCTACAATGGTGGTAAACTGACGTATCAACCCTTCTTGCACCAACACCTTAACAAGCCTACAGAGGTAGATTATGAAACAATGTGATTATGCATGATGATGGCACTGACTGGTCATATTGCAATAATTATACAGCCAATGTATGTGAATAAAGTTATCTATGATAAATAAGAGATGAATATAAAAAAAACATTTCTATTATGAAATCACAATACCAAATAATTTTTATTATGAATTTCTGTCTTTTAATTGGTCTAGACAGATCTGCAGGAACTATAATGTAAACGAACATTATATCAAAGATAATATGGGCTACTAAGCTTTAATTGTTCTTAAAGATGTTCAGCTTTGACAAATAAAAAGAAAAACATTTTTAACATGGCACAGATCTTGTTGTATGTACAATAGAAAACAAAACTAAACCAGTCAGTTATTTTGAATAAGAGCCTAGCTGATGTATAACTTTAAAATGCATGACATTCAGTCATTTTCAATTGGATGCTAACAAAAAATGCATGTACATAATGAAATAATGTCTGAGTGAAATTTGACCTTCATCAGTCCACACATGTCCAAAATATGGCTCTGCAACAGCGTTCATGGCTACCAGTCAGTCATTTTAAAACTAATCTTCAGAACAAAGTAATGACCTATAATGTCCGATATGTGTACCAATCTTGAAAGAAATTTATCCATACATGACCAAGATGCAAGGTTAAAACTGAAATGGCCACAATTCAGCCATCTTGAATCAGATCACAAAATTCCAGAACATGTAAATGTTTTTTTTTAAGTCTTTCTCTCACACCCCTGAAAATTATTGGTTAACAAAAATATATTATAATATAAAATAACTAACCTGACGATTGACTTCTTATCACAGCGATAACTGATACCTTCATCTTTTTCAACACTTAAAACAGCCTGCAGGAATGTTTGTAAAAGGCCAATACTGTAAGTGTGTACATGTAAGGGCAAGCAAACACCAAAATAAAATTGTCAAAAAAACAAACCAAAAATTCTAGATCTCAGACTATCACTTTGACAAATGATGCACTATGTGCATGATGGAACTCCCATGATGCATCTCACTGATGTGAAGACTAGAGCTCTCTGCTTGGAAAGTAAAAAATGATACTCAACAGTTCAACTGACATAATTATCAATTTTTGTATTTTACTACAAATGTGATACCACTACACATGCAGCACTATAATGTGATAATTTGAAATCTATAGATATAGTATTTTAATCTCTCTTTTAACTATATTGTTATTATAATGTCACATACACACATAAAGTAAAACTATTGCAGTGATGATTTCGCCTTCATGCATACCAGTACTATAGTTGGAAGTTATTCAGACATGGCATCCATCAAACCAACACTCAATCTCAAGAATTAGTAATTAGGATCAACTATATATATTATGATTTTTTTCAATTTATTTCTCTAAAGAAGATAATTGAGATCAAAGTTGTGTAATTTGTTCGTCCTTAAGGTTTTCAAAACTGCCAGTAACAGTCATAATAAGTGAAGCCTGGTAAATCATCTTCCCATGCAAGTCATTTCACAGTAACAGTCATAATAAGTGAAGCCTGGTAAATCATCTTCCCATGCAAGTCATTTCACAGTAACAGTCATAATAAGTGAAGCCTGGTAAATCATCTTCCCATGCAAGTCATTTCACAGTTTAGTGTTTGATTTCTAAACATTAATTGGTTTACGGACCTTCAGCAAAGAAAATACACCTTGGACCACTCGGCAAGTTCTCACAGTTTCAATGATAATATTGCGTCTTTTCAGAACACGAGTTGTTAAGGGCATCTTGCCTTTAGACCGACCAGGATCAGACATCTCTCGAGCTGATATATCAAACAAAAAATATAAGAAAACACAATTATGGTGGGTCAACTACAAATTTGTGCTTTTTATTTTGAAGAAAATCAGTGTTTGCTGATGTAGTGTTCATTTGATATCACCATGTCAACAGGTACCTAATAATATATAATACAAATTATATCTTCAGAGTTTGTGTTTGATGTGTTTGTTCTTTTCCCATGATGCAGTGCAAGAAAAAAATCTCCAAAAACGCATGCATTCATATACAAGATAGATTCATTTTACAATCATTGTTTTAATACTTCATGTGTAAACCAGTTGGTATTTACCTGCGTTATCTTCCACAGGTTCAGGTGTATTGGTTCTGGAATTACCCGCAGACGGTAAAGGTGAGATAGACGGTGTACTGCATGGCGTGGAATGCACGCTTCCATCACCTGTATACATGGAAATGACAATATTAGAAAGAATACCACCAATAGAATGCATATCAGCAACAAATTTGGTTTATTTGTTAGTCTACCCTGCTATTGTATACTAATGATGTGATATTAATGCTCTGTACAAGTTGAATAATAGATACTAAAACTACCTGCAAGTCACAATTGTGATGTAATACCTAGATCCAGTGAGCCCGTTTCATCATTCACACTGCTTGTTCCTTTCTTCTGCATTTCCAGTATCATGCTTTTTTTCTTTGCTTTGTCTAAATCTTTCTGTATTTGACTACTTGCAATATTACGCACTGTCACATACCTAATAGATACAATTTTATGAAAAATCATCTTCTATAGCACAAAATTTCATATAATTATTTGAAGTATCTATAAACATCTATATATTTAGGTTTTCATAGAGACTCAACTCACAAATGAATCCATCTCTCACTTTCAGATTCCTCTTTAATACCCTGAGATTATTTGTAAATTATAACAAATGAAGAAAGTAAACACTAAAATTTTACATTTTGTTCTGAACTGACAGTATAACTTACGAATTGAGATTAAATTAGCATCTGTAACATCATTTTTTTCTGAGGGCATTTGTGGAGTTTTATTTGAATCTTGGGAATATATAATGTACAATATATTACCCATGATTCCACTCTCACCTGTACAATATATTACCCACAATTCCACTCTCACCTGTACAAGATACTACCCACAATTCCACTCTCACCTGTTAAAGATAATATCCACAATTCCACTCTCACTTGTATAAGATAATACCCACAATTCCACTTTCACCTATACAAGATAATACCCACAATTCCACTCTCACCTGTACAAGATAATACCCATAATTCCACTCTCCCCTGTACAAGATAATACCCACAATTCCACTCACCTGTACAAGATAATACCCACAATTCCACTCTCACCTGTACAAGATAATACCCACAATTCCACTCTCACCTGTACAAGATAATACCCACAATTCCACTATCACCTGTACAAGATAATACCCACAATTCCACTATCACCTGTACAAGATAATACCCACAATTCCACTATCGCCTGTACAAGATAATACCCACAATTCCACTATCACCTGTACAAGATAATACCCACAATTCCACTCTCACCTGTACGTACAAAATACCCACAATTGGACTCTCCCCTATACAAGATAATACTGTCACCTGTACAAATTATTACCCACAATGCCACTCACCCATATGATATATTACCCACAATTCCATTCTCACCTGTACAATATATTACCCACAATTCCACTCTCACCTTATGAGATATTACCATTATATTTCCACTCTCACCAGAATGAGATATTACCCACAATTCCACTCTCACCAGAATGAGATATTACCCACAATTCTACTCTCACCAGAATGAGATATTACCATTATATTTCCACTCTCACCAGAATTAGATATTACTCACAATTCCACTCTCACCAGAATGAGATATTACCATTATATTTCCACTCTCACCAGAATGAGATATTACCCACAATTCCACTCTCACCTTATGAGATATTACCATTATATTTCCACTCTCACGAGAATGAGATATTACCCACAATTCCACTCTCACCAGAATGAGATATTACCATTATATTTCCACTCACCAGAATGAGATATTACCCACAATTCCACTCTCACCTTATGAGATATTACTATTATATTTCCACACTCACCAGAATGAGATATTACCCACAATTCCACACTCACCAGAATGAGATATTACCCATAATTCCACTCTCACCAGAATGAGATATTACCCATAATTCCACTCTCACCAAAATGAGATATTACCCACAATTCCACTCTCACCTTATGAGATATTACCCACAATTCCACCCTCACCAGAATGAGATATTACCCACAATTCCACTCTCACCTGTATGTTCTCTGTCTACCTTCATCATGAGGTATGCAAGCTACGGTTCCAGTTCTCAGTAGATTTTTACCAATTTGACGAATCTCCACTTTGCCTAAATTCATCATTCTCTGCAAAGTCTGCATACAATAATAAAAAGAGTAACCCAGAAAAGCCTGAATAATCATATTTCAACATAGATTTGAAGACAGTACATCATCTACAAATTGAATTCACATCATTGATACTTACACGAAGTGAAATCCCATTTGATCCATGTTGCTCTACTATATTATAAACCTGATTCAATAATGGTAATTCATGAATCTGGGCAACTCTTTCTGGCAGTGCATCTACAGACAATATAAATAACATTCATTATGTCTTTTTATAAAGTGGACCATAGTAGAATACATTTAGGTGCAGTAGTAACTTATAAGTGTTTGTGTACCAACTTTGGACATAATTATATGCCACAGAAACACAGAGACACGGTGAAAAAAATAAAAATTGCTACCAGTCAGCCATCAAATCTTCACAACATACGCCTACAATACATAAAGTATTATCTTCATACCCAGTTTGGTGAAAAGTAGCCTTATCATTGCGGGGTATTTGTTGCGAACACATTAAAGTATTAGGATTGAGCCCTACCTTAAGTACAAATCAAAGAAAGCTTAGAAAGAACTCCCGTGTGCTGAGAGTATTAGAGACACAGTAAAAATTAATTCAAAATTACTTGTACTTGAGATATTGAAAAGCTGAAAACTAATTATGCAAATCAGAAAATTAAAATGAACAGAGTGTAAAACTAATAAGGTCTGCTAAATGTAACAGACCATCTATATACCAAGTTTCATTGAAATGTGATCAGAACCAAACAATTATGAATTATTATGCTAATTAGGGAATTTATATGATCCAAAACTGATCATATTTGTACATTGTCCTAGAGCATCTATGTACAAAGTTTAATTTAAAGGAGATTAGTACTCGAGATATCAGTTAAAAAGCTGAAAATTAAGTAATTATGCAAATAAGTTAATTAATATGCACAATTATTTACCCCAAAACTAATCAGATCTCTGCATAAGCCTAGAGGATCTATGTACCACGTTTCATTGAAATGTGATGATTAGTACTTGAGATATATGTGAAAATCTGAAAATTAACTAGTTATGCAAATTAGGTGATTAATATGCACAAATATTTATCCCAAAACAATCGATCTCTGCATAGTCCTTGAGTATCTATGTACATGTACCATGTTTCATTGAAATGTAATGCTTACTACTTAAAATATCAAAAGCTGAAAATTAATTTATTATGCAAATTAGGTAATTAATATGTACTGATATTATCCTAAAAACTATCAGGTCTGTGTAGTGTCCTATGACATCTAGGTACCAAGTGTCATTGAAATGTGATGACTAGTTTTACTAAATTAAATTTACTAATCATTATGCAAATTAGGTAATTAATATGCACAGATTTTCACCCAAAACTAAACCTGGCATTAGTTCAGAGCTTCTATGAACCAAGTTTCATCAAAATCCAATGAGTGTTTTTTTAGATATCAGCAGAACAGTCATGGAACAGCTAAAAATTAACTAAGTATCATGCAAATTAGGTAATTAATATGTACAAATTACTACCAAAACCTAATCAAATCTGCGCATTGGCCCAGAGCATCTACGTACCCAGTTTCATCAAAAACCGATGAATGACTCTTGAGATATCAGTGGAACAGACGGACACACACACACATACAGACAGGGTAACTGCAAAGACTCCCATTGTGTGCTTCGCACACAGGAGTCAAAATTGGCCACTAATATTTCATCAAATCAAAAACAAATTGACATGCATATGTATGACATCAATTAGTCATATATTGGCAACTAGTACTAGTTTTTCTTACCAAAACTAGTACATGTACTGAACTTTTTTCTTACCACAACTAGTAGTGAACACTTTTCTTACCAAAATAAATGTGGAACTCTTTTTCTTACCACAACTAGCACTGAAGTTTTATCTTACCAATACTAGTACTGATCTCTTTTTTTTACAAAAACTAGTACTGAACTCTGTTCTTACCAATACTAGTAC